AAACAATTTGTGATTTTATTTGACAGGTGTCCAACCCTGGTCCTCCAGGGCTGCTGACCTGTGAGTTCTGCTCACCTCCCTTCTCCAACACACCTGACCGRTTGAATTACCTCTTCAAGTTCTGCATTAACCTAGTAATCATCCATTGATTCAAATCYGGTGTGTTGGAGCAGAGAAACAAGTCAAATATTCAGGATTGTGACCCTTGAGGACCAGGATTGGACATCCSTGGTTGAAAGCTTCAGCTGTCAAAGGAAACAGACATTTTTCACATGTGGCTTTGATGCAACAAGTCATGGAGAAATGTGCCGAAACATGAAGGTCAAAAGATAAATCCATCTAAGTAATGTAATCATTTAGGACTTGTTGTTGGATCGGCATTGATCATTGCTTTCCAAAAGAGAAAAGATAGAAATGATCAATAAGTTTTTATTGAAAGAWAACTGGTTCAAGATGGTTTCTAGATTTAGTTGTAATTTAAAATCACAGCTCAGCATCCACAAAAGATGATCATTGTTGATTGGAGTTGGTTTGTGCTTTTCATAGCTTTATTTTTGTAATCATATTCTGTTCATTTCAATYTTATTTCATCTTCAATTTAGCTTGTCCATCCATTTTCTCAAGTGCCCTCCARAAGAGTGAAATTAGCTACTTCTCCTGATTTTCCTGACCTATTTTTTAAAGAAATAATTGGACTTCATTGTTGATCCCATGTATAATACCAAGACTATCGTTCAGTTTATTCCACTGACTTATGAGCGTTTCTTCAGAGCAGCAGTGCAGATAATGAAATAAGTCAAATGAACACAATTATATGTTGGCATGCATCGCTGAATGCTCCTTAAATCAGCACAGCTGTCATCCAGTGAGGTTAAAGCATGGTGCATGGTTAATTATGACATCCTGCATCATGTAATTATTTTTTTGAAAAAGCAGCTTGTGTGTGGTGCCCTCAGCAGGAGTAACMGTATCTTCAGGCCAGCAGCTCACCTTACAACAGCATGACTCATGCTCTTGTTGTTGCTTTATGTGCATTCAGGATCTGCTTATTGCTTCTGAATTTATCAGGTATTTCTTCCTTTGCTTTATAATGTTTTATTTTTTGTTTGTTTGTTTGTTTTTTAATTTTCGCTTACTTTTTCTAGTTTTCTCATTTTTTAGCTGCAGCCCATATGCTGCTTTGGTCCTGATGTTTTCATCCTCTTTTATTCTCCTTCTGCCCTCCATCATTTCTCCCTTTGTTGTCAGTTGATCAGTCCTGCAGCTCTGCCTGTGAGCACSAGCAGTAACCAGCAGATACTTGCAAGAGCACCTGCAGCATTTCTGTAGCTTTCATCTAAAAACCTTTTGTCGTTCACACGTCTTCTTTCCTCCTTCTTCCCGCCGAACCTTATGTCACACATGTGGAGTCCGCCATCTTTTTTAGCTTAAAGATTATTTTGACTAAACCTACAGGGACTGGAGAGACTTTGCTTTTTTATGAGAAATCTGATGAGTTTTTGTTCAYGAGTTTCAGTTTGTTTACCACACTGGCTGTGATCTCATCTGATGATGTGCAACCTGCAGTCTGAGCATGAAGAATGCATGTGAAACTGACCTTGTGAAGAATGTGAGCTTCAGCCTCTCCATTCAGATAAGTTTCTCTTGCAGCAGTGATACCAGATGTGATGCAGAAGATTGACTCTCTCTATATGCCTGGACATTCCTCCGAGAGCTCCTCTGATCACTGTTTCAATCGTTTCTTGTCCAGTCCTGGTGGAACTATACGCCGATGTGACAGAAACTAATCTTTGCATGTTTCAAGCAAATACAAGCAAAGATGAGACCTTACACAGAATGAATGTTCATTTTACTTTGTAGCTTCTGTTTACAAAACTATARGTTTCAGCCATGATATTGCTGACTTTGGCATTTTTACTACAGTTTTGCTCATTTCAATTTTTGTGACATTTTTGGTAATTTTAACTGTTTCACTAAATTCAGCTTCTGTTTTGCACATTTAACTAATTCAGTTTCAGCTTTTTTCAGAACTCAGCATTGACTGAGCTCCTTGTCATATAACTCATGCAATTAAATATTTATGTTTCTAACAACACTGGGGAAAAAATCTGAAGGCTCTTAATACAGTATATATTTTAAGAAAACACATTTGTCCTCAAATGTTTTATGAGTCTCA